AGTCCCTATAGCACTTGGATGTTGGACAGGGATTTGGGATCTATGCATGTATCGCACACACACACACACATATATATATATATATATGCGGATTGGAGATCGGAGCGGCTGCTGCTCAGCTCTGATTCGACTTTTCGCCGCGCTGGCTCGCTTGCCACTTGCACATGTTCACCATTTGTTTTCAGTGAGACACCTGAGCCACCTAGTGCATGTGTATGCACAGTAGCGGTCGAGCACTTGTCTGCCCAACTGCTCTGGGCTGCTTAAGACTGCAAGTCTCTTCACTTTTCCCACCTGCAGGGGTAGCAAAGAAAATGATGCGAGATGCTCATGATCGGATTGTCCCGAATGCAGCCGTGAAGCGGCATCCTCATCGATATAAGTCGACATCATCATCGGGCTGATGCGGGGGGCCAAATCGAGACAAATATGATCTGCCCTCGGCACATGCGCATTATGTCTGTCTGCAGCATGTGTTATTTCGTAATGCAGCTCTGCAACTTGTGCAGCTTCGGTCGCAATTTCCACAAAAGCTGTCGTTCCGATATAGCTTGCGTGGCCAAGCCTCGGAATGTCAGGGGTATATATGATTCGATCATGCACATATTCAATAAAAATCTGGGGATCAGACTATTCAGGGCAGCATGGAACAACAAGTTCGCTTGCTGCAGCTTGCGCACATTTGCATCAGACATAGTCGCATACTGGTTTCCATGTTTGTCGATAGAAATTGCTTCTCGCATGTCCACCAGGTTGCAGAACACAGCTGCACGTAGCCTCGAGAACTGATTTATGCACATATAATAAGCTGCATGCCCATCCCTTTTGAACCCAGGCACGCTGCATGCTCATCGCCGGGGTTCGCAGCAGCCACACGAAGTGTCACACCCATCAACCATTTGGCCAGGATGTAGGCTTCCTGAAACAATAGGCGATGGTTCACTACACACAGCACAGCATCCACATGGGCACATGTGGTGAATCCTGGGGCACTTGCTGCTCCATTGAGGTGTTTCTGTGCAATCGAAGGGAAAGCATTTCCCTGTCGAATCTGCTTCCTAAGATATATGCGCACCATGCAATAGTTTGAAGTTAATATATATACTTGAAATGCATCACAAATCCCAGTGGCACTGTGAAGACTTTGCCACGGTTTCCTGAGGACGACAGTCGGATCATCGATATGTATTTTTGCGACAAAGCCTACAAGAAATTTGAAGCTATCTGCATGTATGCAGGCTAGGTTCTCACCTTATTGGCTTTACATTCAGCAGCAAAGCACGTGTAAGCATAGCGGAGGCGGTCATCTTGGTTAGAGCCAGGCCAAACATCGGAGGTCTCCGATAGCTCAAGAAGTGCCTCAGCCCATAGACTCAACCCTTGCCTGCGGGTAAAAGAGTTTATAACTAAAAGATTTAGGTCCAGCACAGAGCCGCATGCGTCGGGCACAACGGCCAAGTCCATCACGTGGAGCCAATCTCCACATATCATTGATACATGGAAACCGGGATAGCGGATAAACGGGTTGTCTCGACATCCAAACCGGATGAAGTCCGGAGTGTTGAACATCCTTATCGTTATGGCTATCGCTTCATCATGTAGCTGTCAATGCGTGCAAAAACTTGCAGTTCAAGGTACGTCTGACGATGTGGGGCTGATGGTCCATGGTTGGTGTAGAGGAGTGCCGATTCGGGATCATTGTTTGCCTCCGTTCATGGCACAAATATATAGTTTCGACAGGAAGGTGATTAGCAGGTCCAGGCCTGGCAGACAAAGCATATGTTCTTACTCGTAGCGGAGTTCACCATTCCATATACTTTTTGTAAGTATTTCTCGTCCCCTTTGTGAAAGACAAGCACACCACGCCAGCCATTCGCAATAGGCCCGGATTTTCCACCTCAGATAATGTTTGCACCACATGTCGGCACACCTGCAATGATGCATGGCCGAGTCGCGGTTTGGAAAAGGGTTGCCCCAAGGATCCACATCAAGATAATGGCCCAGTAGCAGTTCCACCAGGGACCATATCAGCCATTGGTCAAGCACAGCATATGTCTCAGCACAGCACTGGCTGTTGTCCCCAGCATATACTACCAGCTTCGAGTCCCAGGGGCTTGCGTGAACTAGAAGCGAGCCCCAAGTAACTACCATAAACGACCGACGACGATGACATTCGGCATCGTCCCCGTGAAGCACAATGGGGATTGTCTTGCATAAATCCATTTCCTTGGTCTGCAAACAACGAGATTGCAGCTATATGTAAGATAGTGTAGGGATCAGGACCCAGTACTCAAATTAATTTGCACATTGGACACACCAAGGCTCGGAGAGGTAGGGGTGGTCCCGGAACCATGGTGTACACTTGTTCTTGTCCCAGAAATCTTTCATCGCCTGCATGCGTGAATCTCGATGTGGCTGACTCGCTCATGACAGGTCTTGCGGTGCGAAACCGGCGACATTCAGGCGAGGCGCCCCCTCTTGTCCCAGCAGCAGCTTTCTGAATAGTCGCTTGTCATAGGCATAGATCGATCCAAACCTGATGGAGAGCAAGTCGCATGTTTGGGATTAACAGAAAGCACTCCGATCACACCAAGCAGCGTTTCACTGGGCAACAGCATGTGCCACTTGCCGAGGTAGTGGGGATTTTGCAGCTTGGGGTCCATCTTAGTGGAAGATTGCATCAGGATCTGTAGAGCTACAGCAGATTGGGAATGGTAGCACTAAGGTCTGGGCTAGTAGCACATCGATCCTTATTGGTTCAGGTTGGATTACGAGTTGGGGCCAGACAACTGGGACTGTTGACCTTTCTACTTAACTAACATCACGTAGCAGTTCTGCTAAATTTGAGATGAGTTTCTCCTGAGGCAGTGGCAACATTTTCCTCCAAGGTTGTCGTTGCATCCATCTCCAGAATGTTCGCACCTGGTTTTTGGAGTCTTCAGAGAGGCGGTCGCAAAGATCACATAGATTGGACCTGGTCCAAGCTCCCCCCAATATATATCTATATGTATATGTGTGGCCCAAAGCAGCTAGCGTGTCAGGATCCTGCTGTTCAGTCTCAGAGTCGGCAAGAATCTCCGTGGGAATCGCCGGTGTATGACTCGTAGCATACTCATCAATGTTTCGACACTGACCTTAGAGGCTATGGCTGAGAGCATATAATCGCGACAACAGGGCCACATGACCTTTACAAACAAGTCACTTGCCTGCCAAGCTCCACGAACTCTTCTACAATATCCATGATCAATAGCGCCCGGAATCCATCCGAAACAATCTGTACCTGCATGCTGACTTTGGGGGCCATTGCCATAACATGACAGACTGACCGATCCAGAGCACATACATCTCATTTCCGCAAAGGCGGTCGGATGAACCATGTTGCGATGATTTGTCTGTGGCCAGAAGCCAAGCCCACGTGTTGGAGGTCCAGATATAGCTTGGGATTCGGCACCCATTTTGATTTGTTTGTATATAGCTTCTAGCCTAGGCCCTCCTACCCTTTATTCGACCATTATAAATACGTACTATTTGGCTATTAGGGACAATATACCCCCTAATTGATGGTACAAGGAGGGTCCTAGAGGATTTGGATTCCCAGGACAGTCCATGGCAGTATATATGGTCGATTGTAAATATAACGGCATTGTGCAAGTTCCGGGCTAGAGCCTCCATGCTACCATGACTACAGCACATCGGCGAGTCTGCATGCATTGCCATGACACGAGTCCTGCAGAAATGAGCCCGGATCCTTTGGCACCTCTTCGGCACAGCTCGATCCAGCACACCCCAGAGCAATGATGGAGTAGACATTGCCCAGGCCCTAATATCCCAGACCCTCCATCTATACCCTTTCGAACGCACCCTTCACGAATCCTCCTATACTCGGGACCATAAATTCCTATTGAATTGTACAGGAGGGTCCAGTTCCCCTACCCTGCGCTAGAGCGCACACACACACACACACCGTGTTCTCGGAAGAGCAGGTCTGCTAGCTATAATATTTCGGAGTTTAGTTCCTAGGATAGGCATGATCACACAACACACACCATGCTGGTTTGGAGTGGCTCCGAGGTATTTAGGTTCGTACGGAGTTCAGAACAACAGGTCTAGGGTTTGGGAATTGATTTATTTTTGGAGGGGTGGTTTGAGGTTTGGGGCTAGTGACCTGCATACTTCTCAGCACGGTATATGTGCTAGCAACTGCACACAAACACAAGTCGCCACTGCAACAGCAGGCTATGATCACAAGTCTTTTTCTTATATACACACAAGCTACCGTGGGCTATTGTGGCGCCTGCATGATGCATCTAAAGCGATTGTGTAGAGGTGACAGGACTATACCATCGGATTTGACAGGAGAACTCCATCACTCATCGTCCTCTTCCTCCTCCGAGACATCATCACCCTCTTCTTCATCGTTTTCTTCATCTTCATCATCTGGCAAGTCGGAACTTCTTTTCTTGGCAGCCTCTTCTGCGGCTTTCTTGATCTTCGCTTTTGCAGTGCTGATTCTCCGAGCGCCTTCGCGGATATCGGCATCAACGGTCTGAACGAACATGTGATTGTCGTCCAACCATAGCTGCCAGCTCTCCACATCGGGAGTGGTTTCTGACTTAGCCTTCGTTTCTTGCCATAGGGTCAACACCCGAGGCTCGTGGGACTTGAGGGTGTCGACCTGACACGGACTAGATCGATTCTTAAATGATTTCGCAACCACCGCCTACAGTAGCCAGTCGGACACATTGTCACTGAGTTGTGAACGAGCTCCGAGGAGTTCCGGATCTTCAAGCCTTGGATTTCCAGGACCTTCGCCGGGAGGGCCTTCTGCAGGGCTTCGAGCCTCACACATATGTCCAACCGCAAGATCAAACTAAAATCATGATACATGTACTAGCTTACATCAGTAATGTATAGGGACGACACCTGGTCACCAGAGCCTTCATGTCTTTGACAATTTGCTTCTCTGGCGGCAGTGCCTTCTTGACTTTCCTGGATGCATCTCACATACAACACAGAAAAGCTAGAATTGAAAACATTGGGTAAACAGCTCTAGATCCGAGAGTCTTGGATGCGATCTTTCCCGTCTTCATGTCCACAAAGGCGGTGTTGTCTAGTACAGCAAGCTCTGGACCCAGCTGCTTCGCAAGCAATCGTTTGGCCGAGGATTCATTCACTCTGCCCCCAAGTCTGACCTTCGCTTACATGGCTCATCACAGCATAATATATATATAGTCCTATAGTTAGCTCAAGCACAGCCCTAAGCCAGAACACCATACATGGGCAAGCAACATTGCAAGATCCCGAAGTGCCAGTTTGATTCTCCTCCACTATCTCCTTCAGGACCTTGTACATCTTCGCCTTGGCGACACCTGGCGCCTGAGGCAAAGGATGGGCTGGGGATTGGCTTCGGTACATCGTAGGCAGTTAAGCTCAATAACGTTTGCCCAGCTGGCCTGCGGGTGCGGCGTCCCAGCTTGCCCTGATCGTTCGATGCTAGCGTTAACATTAATCATACTCTGCAGCAATGTGCATACGTCCAAGCCAAGCGGCCCTTAATCAGGGCCTCGATAAAGGCTGCGGCCTCCTCCGAGGTGCCATAGATTTTCTCCAACTGAAAGATCGTGACCTGAGTTATAGTCTATAGACTTAGAATGCATGGGGTTTTAGGGCTTTGGGGTCTAGGGATTATGCAACTAGCAAACGATTTGCCTGCAAAGGTGCCGTCGTGTATTTGTCAGTCCGCAAATTCTTGACGAAGGTTTGGAAGCGCTCTTCGATTTCTATAGCCCCCACTCCTTCATTCACGAGAAACGATTTGAGCATCCCAAACCTGAGTGCATGAATTGCAGATTTCCGTCCATTACATGATATAGATAGCTTGGTAGACATTCACGATGCAAACACTGATTGCATGGATAGGTACCGATCACCGTCAGAACACAAAGAGAATTTGGCCGTCAAAGCCGGGTTGTTCTTCTTCAAGATTGCACGTCGGAGTGCCGCATATTGGCGCTTCCTCTCCTTGTAGGGCATGTCCTGGCAGTGTACCATAAGGACATTGTATATACTAACCCATAGTCATGCAAGCACCCTAGCGATCGAAAGTGCCTTGCAGCTGGTCATCGCATTGATGCGTTCCTTTTCTTCTTCAGTAAACTGCCTCCTACGTTCTTGCTTTCCCTCAGGTGTGTCGCCTTCCTCCGACCCCAAGAATACACTTGCAAGTGTGTCCTGCCTTTGCGGCGGTTGCCTCTTTGGGGCTGTAGCTTTGGTAACAGATGGCGTGTCCTGAAATGTGTGGCTCTTTCTGATAGCAGGGCTCGGGGTCTCTAGGTCACTGCCTTGGGAGCTGAGCCTGGCCGGGGTTTGGGCTGTCTCAGGATCAGCAATCTTCGAGCTTTGCGCTTGCTCCTGCAGGAGGCCAGGGCCAAGGAAATATTGTAGCAGTATATATGCAGTGTGCATAGCAATCATACAGTACATATATACATATGTATTCATACATACATGGGAGTTTCCGAAAATAGGGGTACCTTATTTTGGGGTCCTTATAATAAGGATCCTACTATTTAGGGTACCATATTAGGGCCCCCTATTTTCGGAAACCCCCACATGCATGCATACATACATATTACATACATACATACATACATACATACATACTACATACATACATACGTATACATACATACATACGGGGGTTTTGGGTTTACAGTTTCGGGGTTTAGGGTTTGGGGGTTTACGGTTTAGGGGTTTAGGGTTTGGAGGTTTCGATAAAATTCTGCTGATGATCGGCAGCCTCCCCAGACATCTTCTGGCACTTGTCCTTGGACGCCTCAAGTGGTCCACCCTTGCGCTTCGCTTTCGGGCTGGTGCTGCGAACTGCTGATGCCTCAGAAGCTGGCTTGCTCGATCCATCCTTCTTCTCCTTGTTGCCTGTCGGGCTGGTGGTGCGAACTGCTGGTGCCTCGGAAACTGACTTTCTGGATCCATCCTTCTCCTTCTTCTCCTTGTTGCCTTTCGGGCTGGTGGTGGGAACTGCTGGTGCTTGGGAAGCTGGCTTTTTCGATCCATCCTCCTTGTCCTTCTTCTCCTTCTTCTCCTTCTTGCCTTTGGGGCTGCTGCTGCGAACTGCTGGTGCTTCGGAAGCTGGCTTTCTCGATCCATCCTCCTTGTCTTTCTTCTCCTTCTTGCCTTTGGGGCTGCTGCTGCGAACTGCTGGTGCTTCGGAAGCTGGCTTTCTCGATCCATCCTCCTTGTCTTTCTTCTCCTTCTTGCTTTTTGGGCTGGTGCTGCGAACTGCTGGTACTTCGGAAGCTGGCTTTCTAGATCCATCCTCCTTGTCCTTCTTCTCCTTCTTGCTTTTTGGGCTGGCACTGCGAACTGCTGGTGCTTCGGAAGATGGCTTTCTAGATCCGTCCTCCTTGTCCTTGTTCTCCTTCTTGCCTTTGGGGCTGGTGCTGCGAACTGCTGGTGCTTCGGAAGCTGGCTTTGTGGATCCATCCTTCTCCTTCTTCTCCTTGTTGCCTTTCGGGCTGGTGGTGGGAACTGCTGGTGCTTCGGAAACTGACTTGCTCGATCCATCCTTCTCCTTCTTCTCCTTGTTGCCTTTCGGGCTGGTGGTGGGAACTGCTGGTGCTTCGGAAACTGAATCCTTCTCCTTCTTCTCCTTGTTGCCTTTCGGGCTGGTGGTGGGAACAGCTGGTGCTTCGACGGCTGGCTTTCTCGATCCATCCTCCTTGTCCTTTTTCTCCTTCTTCTCCTTCTTGCCTTTGGGGCTGCTGCTGCGAACTGCTGGTGCTTCGACGGCTGGCTTTCTCGATCCATCCTCCTTGTCCTTCTTCTCCTTCTTCTCCTTCTTGCCTTTGGGGCTGCTGCTGCGAACTGCTGGTGCTTCGGAAGCTGGCTTTCTCGATCCATCCTCCTTGTCCTTCTTCTCCTTGTTGCTTTTTGGGCTGGCGCTGCGAACTGCTGGTGCTTCGGAAACTGGCTTTCTAGATCCGTCCTCCTTGTCCTTCTTCTCCTTCTTCTTCTTGCCTTTGGGGCTGGTGCTGCGAACTGCTGGTGCTTCGGAAGCTGGCTCCATCAATCCATGCTGTTCCGGCTTCTTATCCTTCTTCTCCTTCTTTGATTTATTAGGACTGGGGTTGCGAACTGCTGGCACCATGGGCTCTCTCGATCCCTGCCGCTGCCCTTTCTTCTCCTTCTTAGCTTTGGGGCTGGGGTTGCGAACTATTGAAGGATTTGGGCGTATCATGCTATACGATTCAAAGGAAAAGGCCAGCCCATAGAGACAGGATTTTTAGATCCTTCTTGCACCAGTAAATAGTAGCTAGGATATAATACAATCATTCTGTGTTAATTTGTTGCATAATCATGGCGATGTTATGCTATATTCGATGATAACTTGAGATAGTAGTAATACACAAAGAAGAATAGTATGATGATCCTCAGAATCTGCATATATATATATAAGATCATAAAAGACTTAATATAAGAATATAAACTATAGTATAAGATTATATATTCATATCAGATAAGACAAGATAAGAGACGAGATAAGGCTATCTAGTTCATATATATTTATATAACAATAAAGTATATGTACTTTAAACTTAGATATAAATACGTACATGTATGTATTGTGTATCCTCAATTCAAACCCTGGAAATGCTGTGGCCTCCTGTGTGGGGATTGAGCCATCCCGGTCTTTCTTGTCATTGTCCTGTTTGCAGGAAGCATGCTTATGCCTACATAAACTAATAGTTCATATTCAGCTGGCACCTTGCGTTCTCGATGCTTCTCGTCCTTCTCCTTCCTCGGGGGCTTGGGTGCTGCATGCTTGTTCTTCTCATCATTAGCTCGGGGGCTTGTTGCTCTGTCTTTTGTGCACTCGTGCTGTTGCTTTTGCCTCTTTCGGCTTTCCTCAACAGATCCTGCCTCCCTCTTTGCACCTTTGGCTTCGGCCTTCTTTCTTGCGTTCTCTGCAAGAGCCATCTTTAGTTTTGCTAAAGGCGAAAGTACCTTTTGCTTTCCAATGATCCGCTTCTTAACGGGTGCACCTGGCACACTGCATGCAGAACCGAACATAGTAAGCCCAAAGCCCTCAAGATCCTAAACCCCAAGCCCTACAATCAAAAACCATGCTAAGGGATACATAACTGAAGCCCTAACCCTCCTGTATCTAAACCCCTAGAGCTGTTCCGGCCTCGGTGCATAGATCCGATCGAATGAGGCCGAGAGCTAGGACTTGTTTGCCGAAATGGCTCCGTAGCCCACGTGTTGGCTAGAATGATACGCGATGCGTGCTAAAGAAAGAAAGTCTCGCCGAGGTCGACACGTGACCCGAAATGACACGCATTGACACGCTCTCGCGTAGCCCCTGTAGACCTACAAGTGCCCTCAATTCGAGGAAGTGCCCTCTATTTGGAGGCACTTGATATAGCCCTGACACGCATTGACACGCACTGACACGCAGCATTCGGGCCAATTTGGCCACTCGGACCGATTTTTGCTCTTCATGCCTTTGTGTCCCCTTGCAGGCAATTTGGAGCTCTTTTCGTGCTGGAGGAGGCCTGGGCCACCCAAATCCTGTATACAGGCAGTTTGCTCTCTTACAGGCAGTTTGCCCTCTGCTAGCACTAGGATATATACTGTGTTAGCTAGAGGAGTAGCGTATAGGCCTATGGGCGACCGTGCCCGGACTGCACATCGCTAGCTATAGGATCGTCGAGATCGAAGAGCACGCCACTGGCATGTTCCCTTCATCATATCATCCATGGACTCATCACTGCTGCTGTCACAGATGTCGTTCAGATTTCGAGCAGGGCAGCTTGCAGCTGCCGGCACTAGTGACTGAACAGCAAATCCAAAGCCAATCGGATATGCAGCAGACTCTTTCAAAGCCTTGCTGACACCGTACACTCGCACATGTCCAGACTTGTCAGCTTTACGTTTGACAAGCTTTTTGGCACCCTTCCTAGGCTGTAAGTGGTCATGCAGTCGATAGCAGGACAAGTGCTCGAACACAGCCACTGCAGCCCTCCCCCACCCCGTTATAGATACACTGCCAAGTTTCAGCTTGAGCTTCAGCTTCTTGAAGGGAATAGACCGTGCCAACGTGTCAGCTCGTGGCAAAGTAGTATAGAGACTGCGTGGGTTTGCAGTGCAGTTGCAGTGCTTGTGTCAGGGCACGATGTGTGCATCTATGCAGCCAGGCAACAGTGTCATCTTCAGTGTTTCGGACCCATAAGCAGCCATCGGGAATACAACCCTCCTGTCAGGAAGAAGAGGGTTGTTATCATCTACGATGTGTATAGTTAATAGGAACCAAACTCATTTGGGTATTACGTACTGCATCGATTATTTGGCAACGTACATGACACAGGTCTACATCTGCGGCCTGGCACCACATCGAGAGAGGAGGCGCTCAATAGGGGGAAAGGAGAAGAATACCTGATGCAATGTGTCCTTACACACACATGACACCAGCCTGATCCTGTAACAAAACCTATTTATTAATGGAGGCCGTTACCGATGACAGTGGCTGTTCGATCAGGAAGAAAACACCGCGGCTCCAAGCATAGGCTATCCTCAGGTCGAGGCGATAGTTTCCAGACATCCTCAACGACTCACCCGAGAGTGTATACCATCATGCATGCAAGGCACACATAGCATAGTCGTCGTGCCAGTATGTTGGCAAGTCGCACGCATGGAACCGACGTGTTACCCTGTGGGTTGCCTGGCGACCTTCCAGTCGTTCCTGAGGACCTTATCCCCAGTTTGTGGACTCTCCATATATCTAGCAGTTTTGAACCTCTCTCTCTCTCTCTCTTTCTCTCTCTGTCTCGCTGGTGATTGACAGGGCACATCCACACCCAGGGGCCACACGGCGGAGCCAGCACCAATAGCCCTCCAGGCCGGGTGTGACAGACCTGTGATATATATATATATATATGTATATATATGTATGTGTATATGTGTTGTGTATGTTTGTGTATGTGTATGTGTATATGTATTTATATATATATATATATACATATGTATGTATGTATATGTATATGTATATGTACATGCATGTATATGTATGTATAGTATGTGTATGTATGTGTGTATGCATGTAT